TTGCTAGTTCATGTGTTAACCAACGCGTGCTGCTTTGGTAAGACCTGTAAAGTCTTGCAAATTGGAACAAATGCACCGCTTTTATTACAGGAGTTCATAGGTTTCAGTAACCTATAGAGGTTCGCTAAGAACCATCTCATGCCCCTCTCAAGTCGAACTGCATCCGTTTTCGAATATTTCTAATATCTGGGAGCTAATTAGCCACTAAAATATGTATGTTTGATCTCTGTAAGGTGGGGGGGGGGAACCTTCATCGGAATCGCTATATCCGAACAATAATGTGGAAACGGTGTTCTTTCGACATGTTGGGGTTACCAGCTTTCAATGTGATTTTCCGCGATCCATTATGCTCTGCCTTTCTTTATTTGATCTCGTTCTGCTATGCCAGGATCTGCAGTTAAGATCCCTATATGTCCCATTCTGCAAAATTTCCTGAAAAATATGGATGCACTTCTGGAAGGCTTTTTTCCTTTCTGTTCCGGGCGATTGCACATTCTTCTTCCCTCATAAATTATTACATCTCTGCAAGGGAAACCTTGCAGCACGCTCAGTAACGCCGCTAGCTGCATCGAGGGAAACTCCTTTTACATCTACAGTGATCTTCTCTTGGTAGGAGGTCTTGCAGTCCACAACTTAGCACCTGCGCTATAGCTGCCGGCAATTTTCAAGCTGCAAAGGAGCTCCGCCGTGTGTGTACCGTTTATCGCTTTTGGAAAATTGGAATGTGCCAAGTGGCTCGCCTACTGTGGTCCCTTCCACCTGAAGATCGCAAGCTCCTATACAGATTACAGGTTACTAGGAGCTGAAGCAATGTTGCAGAGTGCCCCTCCCCCAATGTGCATAGCGCCCAGGGGGTTTTTCCAAGGAAACAAATATTATGGCGTGGTGTACGTTGGGGTTTCCCCACGGAAGGTCCAGTTGTTGAATTTACCCGGTCTCTGCTAATTCAGGCGCATTATGTATCCACTCCCCGCCCCTCCCCCGTCGCCCCACCCTCCTCATACCCCTGTGTTCTTCTCGATGGCAGCTTTTTGGGGAAAGTGGAGAAAACTGAACAAAACTGAGAAA